ATGTAGGCCAGAAGGTTCATGCTAATATAATGATGGATTTCTCTTTACAAACCAGCCCCATTGGATTGGTGTTGCCCTTCTGCAGTCATTGGATAAGACTATTGATTGGCAGGGTCTTCCTAAGTGTAGGTTACTGATATGGTAGCCACTTAACTGAATTTGCTGCCTCTGAGCTTCTACAGCACAAGGGGCTAGAAGTTCACAGTGACGTTCCTGGAGGAGTTTGCAGTGGTACCTTGGAGGAGACGTTTCAGAAGTTCTAGGGCATATGATCAACTCACTCTGCCCTCTTCTGGACCCCATCTGTTTGCTTCTCAGGAGCACTTCCTCCAGTGAAAGGCCCCTTTGGGGCAGAAGTCCAAGACACTATGATCCTGAGAGTCCTTCTCCATGGTGCCTTGCAGATGTCCTTCAATGTCTTCTTTTGAGAGAAGGAATGTTTTAGGGCTAGGTGTTTCCTTCCATCCTGGACTGAGGAGAGAAACCAATGAAGGAAAGATGGAAGAGGTGACTGTTGTGTGATATTTTGTTTGTGTTCTGACAAGTAAAGCTTGTCTGGAGGTCAGAGGACAGAGCTAGCCACTAGTTAACCATAGAAGCCAGGCAGTGGTGGCACACACTTTTAATCCCAGCACTTGGGAGGAGGAATCAGGAAGATCAGGAATTCAAGGCTACCCTGGCAGTCTAAAAGAGAAACAGATTCAGGCGGTGGTGGTGCATGCCTTTGATCCCAGCAATGAGAGGCTCAAGCCTTTAATCCCAGCACTAGGGAGGTGGAGACAGGACTATAAAGTGGGGAGACAGGATCTCGCCCCCATTCAGTCTGAGGATTCACAGAGGCAGGATCACCCCACCCCCCAATTCAGGCTGCGGATTTGTGGAGGTAAGAACTCTCTGGGGGCTGCTGCTCTGCTTCTCTGATCTTTCAACTTTCACCCTCGGTATCTGACTCTGGGTTTTTATTGTTAAGACTAATTAGGATCACACATCAGGTGATGGCTTGGGATGTTTCACTTGGAATTGAGTTTCCTTTTCCTACTTAACAGCATGGCTGGAGGAGGGGGAGGGACATGACCTGGACATCTGGGGTCTAGAAACATGTCTGACGTGATGGGTAGGTACCAAGCTTCCACAGTTTCCCAGTCTCTAAAACAAGGATCAGTGCTTACAGCCTTGTCTAACCCAAACATCCCAGAGTGACACTAGAATTGAGACTGAACGCTAGTTGTTCCTTTACATTTTTGCCTTATGTAGGTCAGGAAAAGAGGGTTTTTGTTCACATATGATCATACACCTATGCCCCCCAAGTTCCAAGATTGTGTTTATACAAAGATATCTTTTAAGAACGAAGAGAAGTACATTCTTGTGGTCCAGACACAGCTCAACTCTCACAGAGTGGTGACTTTGTTCCTGGTCATGGAAGATCTTCACCTTGGACAAGTCCCTGCTTCTATGACCATTGTTTTTCTCCTCAGTAAAGAGAATACCAGGGCATATACTAACTTTATGGAGCTGAGATATTTGAGCATGCACAAGGCTTTGGAAACCATAAAGAGTTATACAAGAGACATTTGATGGTCTCATCAAATGGACCTGAAAATCGGTTTGACCCTTTTCTCCTGTGCCTTAGTCATGGTAAAAACACAGTGAAGGTCTGTGGAGCGCTGGACTCAAGTTGCTTTTTGGTATTGTAGTGAAAGGCACCGAGTTTGTGCTGTGCTATGTCCTAGCCTCAGGTGTCTGGTGGGGCAGTTGAAGGGAGGGTGAGGGCCAGGACATCAGGGCAACTGGTAACTGTGGGACTCTGGAGACTTTGTGATGCTGAGGACACTTGCTGGCTGTGGATGGGGCAGCTATGAATGCATGAGCTAGGCTGGAAAGAGAGAATTGCTTAGCAGTAGGCATGGTGTGTGTGTGCGTGTGCGTGTGCGTGTGTGTGTATGTGTGTGCATGTGTGTGCGTATGTGTGTGTATGTGTGTGTGTGTGTATGTGTGTGTATATGTGTGTGTATGTGTGTGTGTATGTGTGTGTGTGTGTGTGTGTGTGTGTGTGTGTGTGTGTGTGTGTGTGTTTCTGTTTGTATCTCAGGAAATGTAGTTATTCTACTCTTCTCTTTGGGGAATAAATTACTGTGACTTTATAGCCCTTACAGGAGTTTCTGGAAACTCCATCTGGATGAATCCCAAAACCAAAATTCTTTTCTGAGCTTCCAGCTCCCCCAGATCCCCACTGGGGAGGGGAAAGGGGTCAGCTTCCTTGCCTCTGACAAACTCTGTTTCACCCTCCAGATGGAGCAATCTTTGTATGATCTAAGTCTTTTTCCTTTAGTTTTCCTTCTCCACACGAGTCCAAGAACATGGCTGAGCTGTCCCTTCCAGCCTCACCCCTACCAGGGTAGAGGGGCTGCTTAGCAGTCATGCCACACCCTTAACTAAGATTCTTGTCCAATCAGAAAAGAGCTGGGACTGGTGAAAGCTTCTTCGTCATCTAGTGTCATGACTCTGCCCATTTTCCTTCTAATATTTGCACACTGACATCTGAATGCTTCCACACCACCATCCGTCTATGGCTTAGGAAACATTACTGATGTTATACTGTCTATGAATTGAATGACTCCCACTTTCCTTGTCCCCTGGTGCCAAACGTCTGTCATCCTGGCTCCACAGTTTCCTTCTGTGTTGTTTATGGTGGATGAGCTGAAACTTATGCCTTTGGAATCTGAGGTATTAACTGTGGTAAATCGGCCTTTGGTGCCCAGAGGTAACAATTACCACTCTCATTAATAGATTTCCCCAGCCTCACTCATAAAAAAAGCATGGAACATCTCTGGGGACAGGGTAGGGAAGTGTATCCAGGATCGGGAACAGTCAGGAAACCAGGGTGGGTGTGGGGAGCTTGTGCCCTCTCTCCCTAGAGCCTTCCCAGCAGACTTGAAAGCTGTGTCCTACCCCAGCACCTCAGGGCCAAGTCTCCTTGCATGAGGAAGGTGGGAAGGCCAAGCAGAACTCCGGATCCAGAGCTCTAAGCATTGACTGACTCGGGGAGGAGAAAGGTAGTCTCTTGGGAACATCAGGCTGATCCAGGTCTTGTAATCATGGGGTCTTTAGAGTACTTGAAAACATCAGGGTCTTAGGGACTTCTGAAGGGTCATTCAGCAAGTTGATGGCTGAGCTGGGTGACATGAAGGAAAAGAGCAGGTGGCCAGGCTGCACTGCATTTCTGGAGTCTTTGGCATGCGATCTCTCTTTGGTTGGGAAATAAACTGAATTCTAACTTGCTGTTCTCTAGAGGGTACAGGGGTTGCAGTTCTGAGGCTGCATGGCTGCTGGGTATGGTAGATTATGGGGTTCCACCGTCCCCCTCCTTCTGCACCTCACTGTAGCATGATGGAGCACAGCTGGCTTCCTCTGCCCGTGGTTGCTCTGAGGGATTTTTGAGGTGGGGTCCTATATCTCTTCAGGAATGCTAGTTTGTGAAAAGAATCCTTACGATTTGCATAGAGACCAGTCTCATCTTCAGGCTTAACTTCATTAGCTAAGAGACATGCAGGCCTTGGCTCTCACAGGGTGCCTCTGTCCTTGTCTGCTGAAGACACCTGAGTTCCCATGTGACACATGGGTATGGTGGTATTTTATTTGTATTAAAATGTTATTTGTATGTTAATAAATAAAGTTGCCTGGGGTCAGAGCTATTAGCAAGCCATAGGAAAGCAGGGCAGTGGTGGCATACTCTTGTAATCCCAGCACTTGGTAGGCAGAGCTAGGTAAGTCTCTGTGTGTTCAGGGATACAGCCAGTATTGGATACACATGCCTTTAATCTCAATACCAATCATGGAAAACCTGGAGGTCTATACAGACAGGCCGTGACGAGGCAGTCATGTGGTTGGGTTTACAACCAATGAGAAGGCAGAACAGAAATTCTATATAAAGACTTTAACACAGAAAGTAGCTCTGGTTCGGAGAGGTAGGACCACTGCAGGAGGAAGGGTAAGGTTTTAGCTCTTAGCTCTGACCTCTTGGCTTTCTTCTTTGCATTGGTTCTGTGTTTCTTATTTAATAAGAAGGTCGGTTACATCTACAAATGGGTGGGTGGGTCTCCTTGCTCCTTTGTGTACCTAACAGTGTGCAGCTCAAAGGTAGTTATCTAGCAAACAGTAAATGGTAAATAAAATCCCTTCACATTTCAGCACATGATGGGGTGCTATCCTCCCAGTTCTGTTTAGTTCTTAACTCCCAGTTCTCTCAGATGAGAAAATCAAAGGCTGCCTGATTGCTGGCATGGCCTGACCCTGGGGGAGAGCTTGGCCCAGAGAGCCATTTAGGATGCATGGCAATGGGCAGGTGCCAGGTTCCATGGACCCTGCGCCTCCCTTTGCTCATCTTCCTTTGTTTCCAGTGCATAGTATTCAGCCAGGCAGGTGGCTTTAGGAGTTAGCTTTTGTTTTTGTTTTTATGTACCTGGGAAAATATACACAAAATCATTATTCAAACCATTCTCAAATGACATTAGATACCTTCACATCTGCATAACCACCAGCATGATTATCTCATCTTCCTAGAGAGAAATTCTGCACATTCGTTTTTGTTATGTCTGCATGAATTTTCTCCATCTACTCTTGCTGTGTGAGGAGAATCACACACCTGTCAGGCATATTCATTCTGCATAAAGTCTTCCAAGGTTCATCCATGTAGCTTATGTCCCTCCTCCTCCTCCTCCTCCTCCTCCTCCTCCTCCTCCTCCTCCTCCTCCTCTTCCTCCTCCTCCTCCTCTTCTGGTAGCAGCTCAGGTCCACGAGCTTTCAAGGTTAGCATCCATTTTACCAACTGAACTGTCTCTCCAGCCCAGCAGGGAATGTTGTTTATGAAGTCATAGCACAGCCTTAAAGATAAGGCAAAAGCTCGTAGGAAGTCCACAGGAAATGGAAGTTGCTTGGGTTTGTTCCTAACTTCCGCTCTGTCATCCTGTTCTAGGGCATCTAAGCACCTCGCAGAACCCAGGGAGCAAATCAGCATCCGGCTCAGTCTGCCCCCGCCCCGGGTACGATGAGAAGATGACAGGGCCCAGAAGGGGTGGGTTTAAAGAGTCTCCCTTCCCCACAGCTTGGCACCCAGCCTAAACCCTCTGCTCGCTGAAAGGGTGCCAAGCTGCCCAGCACGTTTGAATTTGCAAATCGTCTCCTGTTTACTATCAGAGGATCTGCAAAGCTGAATCTCCTCGTGGGTTTTCGTGCGGCTGTCATGAGTCCTGTTGGGAAGCGAGCCTTCACAAACCTCAGTGTGTAAGTAACAGGCTGCTTCGTCTGTAGGTGAACGAGTCATAAAAGGATTATTCAAGGAGTTTTTTCTTTTTTTACCCTGGACTGGATTTGAGCATTTGCTCGTTTGGAGGTGGGGACAGGAAACGGCTGAGCCTTTGAGAGTGGGAAGAGAGTCCAGGATTGGAAACCATCGCTTGTTAGGGGACTCCGCTGTACCGCTCAGCTGTGATGACAATCCACTCGAGATATGTTGTATTAAAAGAAAGTGTGGCGTGAGTCCAGCGGTTGAAATGCAGACGCCCACATGTATTTATATTCTCGGGGCCTGGGCCATGTGTGCGGTGACACAGCGTGCTGGAAAGTCGTGGAACTGAAAATAACATATGTCTGTCTCAAGTGCCAGAGGAAATTGTAGCGCTAGTGAGAAGGAGCAGGGTGCAGATTTAGAAAGGGGAGCGAAATGCCTCCTGTGTCACTGTGGTGTTTATCCCCAGGCCCTGGCTTCTCCTCACACATAGCAGGAGCCGCTGCAAAACCGCCAGGAAAACAAATGCTGAACTGTGCCCCGGCCTCCTTCCAGAGCAGGTTGGCTTTAAGCAGCTCTGCCTTGGAAATGAGGTTCTGGCAGACTGAATTTTGACCCTCACTGTGGTTTGCTGAGTACCTGGAAGGCTCGTCCGTGAGTAAGAAGCTGTTGATGGTGCTGAAACTGGGCAGGGAGGTGCTGGCAAGAAAGGAGGTCTCTTTCACCTCAGAACTGCCTGGACTTAAACATGACTCAGAGAGAGGACTGAAGAGGTGGCCAAGTAAGTACTTATTGTGCAAGCACATGGTCCTGAGTTCAATTCTCGGAACCCATGTAAAAAGCAAAAAGCTGGATGTGTGCTTGTAAGCCCTGGAGAGGCTGAGCAGGCAGATCCTTGGGGCTGCTAGCCTATTTGGTAAGTTCTAGGCTAGTGAGAGACCCTGCCTCAACAAAACAAAGCAAAAACGGACGGAATGATAGCACCTGTGGAATGATAGCTAAGGCTGTCCCTTGGCCTCCGTGTGCACATGTGTTCTTGCATGTACATTAATGTGTGCGTGGCGTACTTTTAGTCATGGACACACACACACACACACACACACACACACACACACACACACACACCCCCTTCCCAGAAAAAAACCCAAATCAAGTACTTGCAGTCTTTTGGGAACCAGAGAGCCAACTAGATCTTTTCTGGATTCAGAAACACGTGGGATCACTGCCTTCCTCTGTATAGGGTGCCATCCCTAAAGATGGCTACTGTCTTTAAATTCTGATACTGAGTGTTTCTATAAAGAGGCTACAAAGTTAAAGAAGGAAAAATTGGTCAAAAATACTTTTTTTTTAATTCCCTGAAAGCAAGTAAATGATTCAGCTTCCTTGTTCCCATTTATTTACTCTGCCATTTTGACCATATCAGGCACAGCCCAAGATGTGGAGCACATTGGGTTTTTATAGGTAGAACTGAGCAGAAAGAATGGGATTTAGATACTTTCCTCTGACTCTGGGGTTCATCTTCTTAGAACACCATTGGCAACCTGGAGTCCTCTCTCAGCAACATTATGGTCTGGAACCATCCTGTTAGACCCTCAGCAGGGGCTCCAAGCCACACGATTTTATCCTGTGCACGGGCTTATGTGCAAACAACATCTCACTTCTCTTTTTCTCCTGTAGAGTGGACCTGTTCTCTCTCCTCCCTCCCTGCCCCCAATCCAGTGGATCACACAGATCCTTCCCTTGAACCTTCCTTCCTCCTGCTCATTTTTATCCCAGCCCACAACTCCAGGAGGCATCCCATGGGAACCTGCCAGCCAAGCCTGACAGAGAGGCAAGTAGGCCGTCAAAGCAGATAGGAGAGCTTCAGATCTCACTTTCCCTCTTCTCCTCCGAATCCAGTCCCCGTTCTCATTCCCAACTTTGTAGCAGACTACCTGTTGCGTCCTCTCCTCACCCTCTGCCTCCATCCCACAAGGACTAGGTAGATCTTGGTGGAACACCCTATGGTGGTATTTTACTTGTACTGAAATGTGCTGTGGGAAGTTCTGTATGGCAAATGTGTTGCTAATTAGTCAATAAATAAAACACTGATTGGCCATTGGCTAGGCAGGAAATGTAGGCGGGACAAGGAGGAGAATAAAGCTGGGAAGTGGAAGGCTGAGTCAGAGAGACACTGTCAGCCGCCATGATGAGAAACAGCATGTGAAGATGCCGGTAAGCCACGAGCCATGTGGCAAGGTATAGATTAATGGAAATGGATTAATTTAAGCTGTAAGAACAGTTAGCAAGAAGCCTGCCACGACCATACAGTTTGTAACCAATATAAGTCTCTGTGTTTACTTGGTCGGGTCTGAGAGGCTGTGGGACTGGCAGGTGAGAGAGATTTATCCTGACTGTGGGCCAGGCAGGAAAACTCTAAGCTACAGAAATGTGATTTTAATTGTATGTTAATAAATAAAGTTGCCTGGGGGTCAGAGCTATTAGAGCCATAGCAAGAGTGTGTCAGTGGTGGTGCACGCCTTTAATCCCAGCACTTGGTAGACAGAGCTAGGTAGATCTCTGTGTGTTCAAGGATACAGCCAGCATTGGAGACACACGCCTTTAATCTCAATCCCAACCATAAGACCTGGAAGTCTTTACAGACAGGCAGTGACGAGGCATGGGTTTACAACCAATGAGAAGGCAGAACCGAAAGTCTTTATAAAGACAAAGACACAGGAAGTAGCTCCCTTTCAGAGAGCTCTCTGGGCTGAAGAGGATCACTGAATCAGGAAGGGTGAGGCTCTTAGCTTTGACCTCTTGGCTTTCTTCTCTGAATCGGCTCTGTTTCTTATTTAATAAGATGGTTGGTTACATCTACAACACCCTGCTTTCCTCTCTCCTGGGGACCCCCTCAGCCCACTCCTCCAAGCCCAGCCCTTTCCTTAGTGTCAGCTCCTAACACCTAGAAACATTTTTTACCAGTAATTCCCAGTGGCCATACCTAGCAGGATCCCAGAAGAATTCCCTACCAGACAACACATAGACACCACACTCTCTCAAGAACCAGAGAGGGCAACAGAAACCAAGGAACAAAACACCTGCTCAACAAAGACAAGATCAGATATTAGCACCTAGAATTACAATCACCTCAAACCTAGATGCCTACACTCCAGCATAAAAACACAATCAATAACAGCCACTAGAGCCCAGCTATTGTACTACACGAGGCCCTGAGAATTCCAACATAGCTGAAGCACAATAGAAAGACCTTAAAATAGCCTTTATAAGTGTTTGCTTCAGCAGCACATATACAGAGAAGATTATCATGGCCCCTACGCAAGGATGACATGCAAATTCGTGAAACATTCCATATTTTTAAACCCTTATCCAAACTAACTAAAAGGCAGAGAGAGAACATCCAAAACAACAAAATCAGAAACAAAAAGGGGGACATAACAACAGACTCGAGGAAATAAAGAGAAGCATTAGGTCATACTTCAAAAACCTATGCTCCACAAAATTGGAAAATCTAAAAGAAACAGACAAATTTCTTGATAGTTAACACTTACCTAAATTAAATCAAGATCAGATAAATGATTTAAACAGATCAATAATCCCTGAGGAAATAGAAGCAGTCATTAAAAGTTTCAGTCATGAAAAACATTCCGGAGCCAGATGGTTTTAGTGCAGAATTCTACCAGACTTTCAAAGAAGAGCCAATACCAATACTCTTCAAATGTTATTCCACAACATAGAAACAGACGGAACATTGCCAAACTCTTTCTATGAGGCCACAATCACCCTGATACCCAAACCACACAAAGATTCAACAAAGATACAACAAAGAGAGTTGTAGACCAATTTCACTCATGAACATAGATGCAAAAATACTCAACAAAATACTGGCAAACTGAATCCAAGAATACATTAAAAAGATTGTACACCATGACCAAGTAGGCTTCATCCCAGAGATGCAGGGATGGTTCAACATACAAAAATTTGTCAATGTAATCTCCCATATAAACAAACTGAAAGAAAAAAAAAACCCACACGATCATCTCCTTAGATGCTGAAAAAAACCTTTGACAAAATCCAACAAACCTTCATGATAAAAGTCTTGGAGAGATAAGGGATGCAAGGAACATACCTAAACATAATAAAAGCAATATACAGCAAGCCAATTGCCAACATCAAATTAAATGGAGAGAAACTCAAAGCACTTCCACTAAAATCAGGAACAAGACAAGGTTGTCCACTCTTTCCATACCTATTCAGTATAGTATTTGAAGTTCTAACTAGAGCAATAAGACAACTAAAGGAAATAAAAGGGATACAAATAGGAAAGGAAGGAAGAAGTCAAAGTATCATTATTCACAGATGATATGATAGTGTACATAAGTGACCCCAAAAACTCTACCAGGAAACTCCTACAGCTGATAAACACCTTTAGTTAAGTGGTTGTATACAAGATTAACTAAAAAAAAAAATCAGTAACCCTCCAATATACAAATGAAAAATAGGCTAAGAAAGAAATCAGAGAATCAATATGCTTTACAATAGCTTCAAATAACATAAAATATCTTGTTGTAACTCTAACCAAGCAAGTGAAAGACCTGAATGACAAGAACTTCAAGTCTTTGAAGAAAGAAACTTAAGAAGATATCAGAAAATGGAAAGATCTCCCATGCTCATGGATCAGTGGGATCAACATAGTAAAAATGACCATCCTACCCAAAGTAATCTACAAATTCAATGCAATTCCCATTAAAATCCAAACAATTCTTTACAGACCTTGAGAGAACAACACTCAACTTTGTATGGAAAAACAAAAAATCCAGGATAGCTAAAACATTCCTGTACAATAAAAGAGCTTCTGGAGGTATCACCATCCCCGATCTCAAGCTCTACTACATAGATATAGCAATAAAACCCACATGGTATTGGTAGAAAAACAGATAGTGGATCAATGGAATCGAATTGAAGAGCTAGATGTAAAACCACATACCTATGGACACCCGATTTTTGACAAGGAAGCCAAAATTATACAATGAAAGAAAGAAAGCATCTTCAACAAATGGTGCTGCTGGTCTACTGGATGTTGGAATGTGGAAGGATGTGAAACAATTCATATTTATCACCCTGCACGAAACTCAAGTCCAAGTGGATCAAAGACTTCAACATAAATACAGATACACTGAACTTGATAGAAGAGAAAGTGGGAAATACTCTCAAACACATTGACACAGGAGACAACTTCCTGAATGGAATACCAATAGCACAGGCCTGATTTTGGTTTTATTATGTGCTGTGGGATGTTCTGTATGGCAAATGTGTTGCTGATTAGTCAATAAATAAAACACTGATTGGCCAGTGGCCAGGCAGGAAGTGTAGGCGGGACAAGGAGGAGAATAAAGCTGGGAAGTGGAAGGCTGAGTCAGAGAGACACTGTCAGCCGCCATGATGAGAAACAGCATGTGAAGATGCCGGTAAGCCACGAGCCATATGGCAAGGTATAGATTAATGGAAATGGATTAATTTAAGCTATAAGAACAGTTAGCAAGAAGCCTGCCACGGCCATACAGCTTGTAACCAATATAAGTCTCTGTGTTTACTTGGTCGGGTCTGAGCGGCTGTGGGACTGGCGGGTGACAGAGATTTATCCTGACTGTGGGCCAGGCAGGAAAACTCTAGCTACAATTATGTTTAGGTATGTTCCTTGTATCCCTTTGAAAATATGGTACATTTACACAATGGAGTATTACTCAGCTGTCAACAAAGACACTGTGGAATTTGAAGGCA